AGAGTGGCCTCATATTGACAGCGTATGTTGTGGTTATCTGGGTCCCTATGCTTTTCATTTGATAATTTCCTTAAAGTTTTCCTTAGGTTTTTGCATTCAGTGTCAAACCATTTGTTATTGTTCATTTGTTGAGGTTTTGGTTTGGAGGCTTTCAAATTAGACAATGAAGCCAAATGATGAAATATTGAATTGATTGTCCACAGCAGAATATACACCAGAATTGTTCTGGGGAAATGTTTCAGTTAGAAATAAATTAGTTAAATCATGTATGTTTTGATTTTCCAGTGCCTTTTGGTATGCCCCCATGCTGTCTGGGGTCCATCTGTATGGGTATGTGCTATTAAACAGTTCCCAGGCACTAGGGGCCCCAGACTTAGACTGAGCCCTTTTCAGATAGATAGTGATTTTGCTGTGGTCTGAGAGGGGTGTGAGGGGGGCTGACTGTGAAAGCTCTAAGGAGACATTGGATCTAGATCTGTAATGAAATAATCTACTGTACTACTGCCAAGAGCTGAGCTGTAAGTGTAGCGACCCAGAGAGTCCCCTCCTATCCTGCCGTTGACTATGTACAGACCCAGCGTACGGCAGAACTGTAAAAGCTGCATACTGCTTGTATTAGTAAGCTTGTCAAAGCTCTTTCTAGCAGGACATTCAGGGAGGGGGAAGCAGGTGCTTCCAGGTAAGTATTTGTGTCCCTGGGTGTTCATAGTGTCAGATCTTTTCCCTGTTCGAGCGTTCAAGTCTCCACAGAGTAATACATTTCCCATGGTTTTATAATGGTTAACTTCCTCCTCAAGAATAGAGAAAATATCTGGGTTGTAGTAGGGGGATTCTGATGGAGGTATATAGATGGCACACATGTAGACATGTTACTCAGCACAAATCATCTGTTTGTTAATTTTCAACCATATATAAGATTCTTCTTTTTTAATAACTGTGATGGACTGTGTCAGTTCTGATTTACACCATATAATCATGCCTCCTGAATCTCTGCCTTGGGTTATTGTGGGATTTTTTGTTGATGGTATAATAATCTCAGTGTAGCCGTGAGGATGACCAGTGGAAACATCTTCTCTGCACCATGTCTCCTGTAAAACTATGTCAGAATCTTTTAAATCTCTATTAAAATCTGGATTTCTGCTCTTTAAACCAAAAGCTGATGATCTCAGACCTTGAATGTTCCAACATGTTATTGTAAACGATTTCATCTCCAAGTGTAATCTGTTCAAAAATTAGACAAACACCTTAAAAAACAAATAATAATAATAGTAAACTAGATATTAAAAAATAATACTAGTAACAAACAAAAATGGGGGGGGGGGGGGGGGGGTTAAAAAGAGGAAAATAGTGTGTAGGTAAATGAATAAAATATTAAACTTTGAGTGGCATTTTAGAGTGTATCATGTGTGAAATACTGTTAAGAATTGTCATTATATTACTATTCTTTTAAAATGATATCCAACATGCTAAATTATGAATAATTGTGATGTCTCTAAGAGGTCTCTGCTCTTCCACCATGTAGCTATATGAGGCAGGAGCAGAGCAGGTTTAGCATGACTTTGAGGGGGGCGGGGCTGTGGCTCTTCTCACCACTGCAGCATAGTTCAGTCAAATAGGCTGCTGCTCCTGTAGTCTTGGATCTGCCGTTGGGATGGGGGGGGGGGGGGGGGTATAGGACCTCCAGGCTGGGCCAGTGTTGTTGGCTGTGGGTTGTGATGTTGGTGATGCGGTGGGTTTGGTGGCCTGGGTGGATGTATAGTGGAAGTCTGGATGGTCCTGGAGGTCTGCATGGGGTCTGCGTTGTGTGGTTACCCCTTGGAATGGTAGTAGGGCTCCTTCCAAGAGCAACATCCTTCAGGGCCCTAGCAAGGGTGGGGACTGCATTTCTGTGTAGGTGTATGATATCATACAGGCAGTCCAGGTGCAGGGTCGGGTGGTGGGCCAAGAACACGTTGGGTTTGAGGGCACAGTCCCTGGAGAGTCTGATATTCACTCTGTGAATAGTGTGGGGTTGGAAGTCTCTCCTGTGCAGCAGCATGGATATTGCTGGTAGGGAAATTGGTGGAGGCTTGCTCAATGACTCTCCTCAGAGAGTCTGCCAGTCTGTCCTGCTGGGACCTTAAGTCGTTTGTGCCTGTATGGATGATGATGTGGCTAGGCGAGCCTAGCTCAGGCACGGTTAACAGCTCCAGCGCTCTGGTGCGACTCAGCTGTCGGGTCTAGATGTGGAGCTGTGGTGGTGGTTTCGGGTCTGGAGCTCCTAGCTGGAGGCTGGCTAGAGGCCTTGGACAGGTGCAGGGGTGTGACTGGCGTCTTGGCTTGGGATGTTTGTATGGAGTCAGCTGGTTGGTACAGGGGGGGGGATTAGAGTCTGCACCAGGCTGCGTGAGGGGGGGGGGGTCCTCGAGGAAAGGGCTGTGTTGTCTTTCAGCAGGTGTAGTGGGAGTTTGGCTGGATGTGGTCTGGATCTGCGAGGCAGGCACCAGGGGGGTTGTGTGTAGTTCAGTCTGGCTTGTAGACTGAGCCTGTCCCTGTCTTGTAGCTCTTCTCGCAGAGTAGCCAACTCAGTTTTGCAGTTGTCCCTGTCCTGCCTAAGTTCCTTCACCTTCTCACTGAGATGATCCAGCTGTCTTCTCTGACAAGTTAGTTCTTGTTGAAACTCGGCTGTGAGTTGACACTGTCCTGTTCTTTCTTGGCCTGGAAGTCACTGACAGTAGGAGAGGAAGGCTGCTGTTGGTCCAGCTGCTCTCTGATCTGTACCAGTTCTATTTCCATCAGGGAGAAGTGCTTTCTCATGATGTCCAGGGCCTCAGAGTGCTGTAGCAGGAGAGGATCAGTGTCAGCATCAGCAGGCTGTCTGTCTGGAGCAGGGACAGAACAGGACGGTTTGACTCCCAGGGTTGGAGCGATGCTTGCGAGGACCTCCTTCTCAGCTCTCAGTCTCATAGCAGGAAAGTCGAGCTCAAACGGTCTCAGGTCGCCTTGTATCATGGCAGTTCCATTTTTGAACAGGTTTACTGTTATTCTGCTGGTGTCAGAGTCATTTTCTTCCAGTACACTTATTTTCCATCCATTACAAATGCCTGCTCTCTTTATTGCTGGGTAATGAGAGCTGAACACATTCAGCCAGGCATATGGTTCATCCGTCCAGAAGATTAAATTGCAGGATCTTTGTAGTGGTCCAGGAACAGGATTCCTGGTCTTTCTCTGAGTATTGTTTGTTTATATTTTCCCCTTGCAGTTTTGCTTTTGATAGCTGGGGGGTAGTCAATGGTTTCAGAGTGTGTAGACATCATGAAACAGTTGTTGATCTTCAAGCTTCTGTGTTTAAAACAGCACTACTGCTGTTTGATGCCGTTGCTGGATAACCACAGTCCAGTGTTAGCTTGTTAGCTATTAGCTTGAGTGTTGCAGTTGGGACATGTTTTTTATAGTAATAAATGCAAAAACTTACTGATTTCAGTGTCCAGTAGTTTGCTGTAACTTGCTTGAGTCCCTCTACTGTATCCTCTTCTTGTTTGTTTTTGTTCTCTCTTTTGTTTCTCTTCAGCTTGATGCTCTGTTTCTGAGCTCCTTCTTCAAACTGTATCTCTTTTCATTCTTTCTCTTTCTTTCTCCTTCTTTTTCCTCTTTTTCTCTCCTCTGGTGTATTGTGGTCACTTCTTTTGCATTTTTCCTCATAAAAAGTCGGTGTTTATCCAATTTTTGGACCGAAAACAAGCGTTTTGTTTAGCAGCAACCCTTGCGGGGTGGTATGTGTCATCCTCAAGCTCGGGTCCTCTACCAGAGGCCTCAAGTTTGAGGGTTCTGCGCAGTATCTTATCTGTTCCTAGGACTGCATTCTTCTGGACAGACACCTCTGGAGCCGGTTGCACCAACAGGGCTTTACTAAACCTGGTCCTAACTGCTAAGTAGTCTAGTCTAAGTAGTCTTTAGAGTTGACCTAACTTCGGTTGCACCAACCAAACTTAAGCCTAGGCTTAACTACGCCTGGTCTTAGCGATGCGCGTTCATGTGAATGGCCACAGAACTATAGCGGTTGCCTAGCAGCGTGCGTTGCTGGGTTACGCTGTAAACTATCTTCCACTGTTTTGTTAACTTGTAGCTGTCTCAATGGAGGATCAAAGAAAAAGGAAAGGAAATTTCACCGACATTGAGATACGAAAGTTAATTGAGCTGTACAGTCAGCACAGACACACACTGACTGCCAAGCAATCAAACTCAATAACGAACAAGAAGAAACAAACAACATGGAAACAGATAACGGAGGCGATTAACGATTGCTCTGACTTCGGCTGCCTTCGGACAGAGAGCGATGTGAGGAAAAAGTGGAAAGACCTCCTGAGCAAAGCAAAAAAAGATTTGTCTTCAAAAAAACACCACCCGACCGGCGGGGGTCCTCCCCCAAAAACTTCTGTGTACAGTACCATAATTGTGGATATCTTTGGAGAGCATTCCCCGGCTTTTATTGGTTTGGTCGGTGCGGAAAGTGGCGGTACCGATCTGGAAGAAACTGCTGTCTCTCCAGAGATGGATGTCGACCACTCAAGCGAGAGTGTGAATTGTGAAGGTGTGTAGCCTATATATTGGAGTAGCTTACAATAACAGTTTTAGTAGTTGTCAGAACAGTAGGCCTATGACAGATTCTCTGTATTTTCAGACTCGATGGAGGCCCAAGTCACTCCACAAAATTCTCATGAAGGCAGCAGCGGTGCACCGCTGGTGAAACGGAGGAGGAGGCTGGATGATCTGCAGCATACACTTCTTGAGAAAGAAATTGTTAGAGTGGAGGCTGAAACAAAGAAATTACAGGCCGAGCAGGAAAAGCTGGAACTTCAAAAACAAAAAATATTGTTAGAAATACAGTTGCTCCAACAACAGATAAGCAGGTCATCTTCGCCTATTTCTGAAGAGGATGGGCGGTCTTTTGTAATTCTGTAAATAAGCCTAATGGCAAATTGTGTGCAATGAATCAGTGACATTATATGTAAATTAAAAAGAGTTTATTATAAACCTACTGGACTTTCTTTGTGGCTTATTTTTTATGGTTTACAACCTGGAGATAATTAGTAGAATTATTTTAAGTGAAGCAATAGTTTATAACATTTATAAAGCATTAATAATGCGTGTACGGACTAGTCGTCCACCGACATCTTCATGCCCTGCATGGTCCACAGGGTCAGCACCTTCCTCCGGCACCGGCTGATGGTGTTGCCTAGGGAGAGGGATCCTCTTGGTGACACAGGACAGTGCACGCTGCTATTACGGTGCAGACTCGCTCAGGGTGCATCCGCATCTCTCCATGAAGACAATGAAACCTAGAAAAAAGAATTAATGATTAGGCTACTGTAAAACCTAAATGTGTCACTTTTGGCGAGTTTTATATAGCCTAGGCCTAGTCTATTTATATAGTTTTCAGTGATCTAGTGACCACACTATATCAGCACCATGGATAGCGGCACAGACACTGCGGAAAGAATTTTACCTGCGCTTGAGGACTCCGATGCACCGCTCAACGAGGGACCTAGTGGTGGTGTGGATGGTGTTATACCGTCGTTCTTGCTCAGTCCTCAAAGCAATTATTGGAGTCATCAGCCAGTGTTTCAGTGGGTATCCACTGTCGCCGAGAAGCAGCCCATTTACTCTTCCAGCCTCGAAATACTGGTATAACGCACTTTCTCGGAGGATGCGTGCATCATGGGTAGATCCAGGCCATCTTGCCACCAAATTAAAGATGTTGTAATTGGTGTCACAAGCAATCTGCACATTGAGTGAATGGTATCCCTTGCGGTTGACATACAGATACTCATGCTCAGATGGTGCCTGGATCCGGAGTCCCATCGATGCAGCCCACAATACCAGGAATGCCAGAGGCCCGGAGGAATCGGTGTTTCATCACCGCAGACTCTGCCTCAGTGGGGAGGTGAGCAGATCGTTGAAGGCGACGGCTCAGTCCCAGTGACGCTCTGCGGATGGCCCGACATGCGGTGGATTTGTGGACATTAATCATGTCTCCAACAGTGTTTTGAAACACACCATTTGCATAAAAAACGTAGCGCTATTAACAGCTGTAATGCGGGTGTCAATGCTGCGTTGTGATCCGACACAAACTGTAAGTCGGGTGACAGCTCCTCAACAAGTTCATATATATCTCTCTCCGACAGAATCGAAACCTCTGAATCAGCTCCTCATCATTGTAAATGTCCAATGGATTGCTTCTGAAAGCCCGCTCATTGTAAAGTCTGTGTATAAGGCGCGCCATGTCTTTACTGCTGAGTTATCAAGTGGTTACTAGAGAAACTTGCCTAGATTTTGACTTTACGCCTGCTACTGACTAGGTGTAAGATTTATGCCCGGTCTTGGCGAGAAGAGGACTTATGCAACTGTCATAACTATTAGGTCGGACTTAGAATGCTGAGTTAAGACCTACTTACCTTAAGACCAGGCGTAAGCCCTGTTGGTGCAACCGGCTCCTGATGTTTTACCTGGAATCTGCTGTAGCCACTCTCCAGTTTGGGGGTCACAGCCCCCAGTGCTCAGATTACCACTAGCACCATTGTTGCTCTTACTTTCCACATCTTTTGTAGCTCCTCTTTCAGCCCTTGGTATTTCTCAAGCTTCTTGTGTTCCTTCTTCTTGATGTTGCTGTCACTTGGGATTGCCACATCTATCACTGCAGCCTTCTTCTGCTGCTTGTCGATCAACAGGATGTCTGGTTGGTTAGCTATTACCTGTTTAGGATAAATGCGGGATCAAAAAAGGCATTTTCAATGGGGCATTTTTTGTCCTTAGGGAGGAATGTGTCTTGCGTAGCTTAGCCATTTTAAGCTAATTTAAGGAACTGACAGGACAATTTGAAAATTTCTTTTAAAAGAATATTTTCTGGCAAATTTGAGCTATACATATTTAACACAGCCAAAATGGCTTGAAAATAAAAAACGGAATGGCACGAAATGTCGCCAGGAACTCTTAAGGGCTGGGGGGTGGGGGTGGATGGGTGAAATAGGATGAATCCTCTCCCCATTAAGAAAGACGATGTGCGCATTTACGCACAAGGTACAGCAGCATAACGTCATTGATTATTTGAATCTCCCGACACTCCCACAGGATCGGACAGGATGAACTGACAGCAGCCTCTTTGATCATGAAAGTAATTCGTTAAAGCACAAACACACAGCCTATAGAAATCTATTTACGCATGATCCATCAGGGGAGCTCAAGCTAAACCCGTAGTTTGGCACCCTGTCTACACTCTAGACCGTTCCTCTTTTACTCATAGATTTGTTTTTCTGGTGCTGAAATGTTTCTCGGTGTTGGTGAATTGTTAAAAAACACCACTTAATTTCGGGTTAAAATGCATTGCAACGCGCCTTACTGAGATTGTAACGGATATTTGCCGATTATTTGCATTATAGGCCTAATACTGCGTTACAGCAAAAAGCTCCCAACGCTGCGAGTGCCGTGAGATTAATTAATGAAGTGGACCCTTCTCGCGCTGTGTATCGCATTGAGTTTGTGCCCAAGCAGTAACGTGACTGTCAGCTGCACTTTATCCAGCTGCTGAAGTTAACGTGCGGATTTGTGGAGAGATCTCTGCCTGGTTGCAACTGTTTACCGTTCTATCCCACACTTATCCTGTTTAAATACATGGAAAAAGTGTTAAAACAGAGGAGCTAGCCTATTAAAGCCCAGGAGTTAAAGCTGAATTAAAATTAATTAATTTATCATTTGGTTGAAAAGGTGCCACATTCACATTTAAAGAGGCTACTCCCCCAAAATAACAGACACAAAAAGGAGGGAAGACTAAATCATGTGTTTTGACTCAGCATTGCCTCAGACTCAGAAACATTGCCTTGTTGACAGGATTCTTGTAGTGATGATTGATTACTCTCACCTGTGTTAGGGGTTGGGGAAGATCAGATGGGGATAAAGGGGTGTGTTGGAGGGGCTGAAGGCGGCCCTGAGAGAGAAATTGAACTGTTTGGTCCATGGCTGTGGGTTTTGGCACGTGGCGAGAGGGTGCTGTTTGCAACTTCTAGTGTTGCCAGCAGTGAAAACAGCAGGCAGGGGGTCTGTTCCTGTGTAGGAGGGGAGGCACGCGTCTCCTTTAGGTAGAGAGGGATCGGGATCGGGAAGTGCCTGTACCAGTGCTTCATGGACGGAAGCTGCATGAGGCCGCACACCCTTCTACGCCGATACACCGATCCAATCTGTGTCCACAGCCGGGGCCTGAGGCTGAATGGAGTGTGTCTGTGCCGCTTCCTGATCTACGGGAGATTCCATGTCTGCTCCCTATATGGTGTCTCAGTAGTTTGCTGTGTACAGGTTGTGGTGCATTTTGGAGTGATTTTCTCAGAGTGTGTGCAAGGTTCCCTTGCAGTGCTGTGTCATAGGGTGGTAGGGCGGCTCTGGGGACCATTAGGGGTTGACCTTTGTGAGGGCTCTCTGTGTGCGGTGTCTATTTTTTATTATTATTTTTTTTTAAGATGAATTTGTATTTCCAATAAAGATTGTATTTTGTAATCCATTCCTGTCTCTGGTTCTGTTCTCTGCCTCTGGTGCCGGACCAGAACGGGTAAACAAAGGTGGTGGCAGTGTTGTGCTGCCTTAAAACCTTAGCCTTAATTAAAAATAAATTACACTGGTGGCAGTGGTGGGATCAAATTAAAATGTCAACAAGGCAATGGAGAGACTCCTCACATTTATTATTACATTACATTTATCAATACCTGAGAGCCTTATAGCCTATATTTATCAGAATACAATGCTGAATTTTGATTTCCCTTTATATAAATAAACACATTTTCCATCATAAATTGGAGCAGTTTCTGAGGAACATTTATTAATTATAAAATATAATTACCATTGACATGGCTTTGCTGTTCCCTGGGAAAGCCAGAGGGAGAGAAAGAGGGAGGGAGGGATCTTTATCTCTTGTTATTCCATGTGGGACTGACACAGAAATATAAACTAACTGCAACTAACTATCAAAATGTATGTGTTGCTTTCTTTAATGTGTCTGTACTTGTCATGGGAAGGCTGAGTGCAACGGCAGAGAAACTGAGGTGTGAACCCAAATGCAGTTTAAATGATTTATTAAAACAAACAAATAAACTGAGGCAAGAGTCCAAACAAAGGTAAATCTAAATGAAAAGATAATCCAAGGAAAGCAGGGTAATCCAAAAAACAAGGAAGAATGTACAGGGAAGAGAGCAAGGCAGAACACCAGAACACTCAACATCAGACAAGGATGCAACAAGGACTGAACAGAACTGAGGGCTTAAATACTGATAGAGCACAACATACACCAGGCAGGCAGGGTAACGAGGCACAGCTGAGACACATGACGGTAATCAATTCAGAGACAGACAAACAGGATGAGGGAGCATAGACAGAACCAAACCAGAAACAGGACTGACACTAAACATGGAACAGATGCTACAACAAAACCCAAACCAGGACAAGATCAAATAAACGCAGAACCCAAAACCAAACCCCCATGAAAACAGATTAAAACAAAAAAAAACATGAGTACAACCCCAAATCCTAACACTACTGCCGTGAGCCGTGACACAATTGTCACCCAAGCTTAAAAAAGGGGCTCATCATTTCTAAACAAGTAGATTTAGTAGTATAATATCTCAGCCTCCTCCAATCTCAGAAGGACTCATTAAGACTGTAGTTTGTACTCAATAAAATCATATCAGATATTTTGAGAGCAAAATGAAGCGTGTCTCCATTGCATCCTGAGCTGTGTGACATTCGTTTTCTCAACAACACCAGCCTCCATCCACACATTCTCACTTTCTGTAAACATTATCAGTTGACTTTTCTGCCATCTGGCCGCTCCACACAGGCCAAGGTTAGACATGCACCACTTATGTGCATGCTCACAGTTTTGTCCGCTAAGGAGACATAAGTGATACCCAAATCTATTTTCTCCGCCCTTTTCCCTACATAACACATTATTATTGTCACATTTTGTTTTCTACATTTCTGGTTAAAGGGCTTTTAAGAGCAGGTGATTTCAAATCCGTGTCATTTTAGTCTCTTTGATTTTCTTGCTTTTACTCAGAGGTTTGAGCATTAAGCCTTAATTTCACTAACTCCTTTTAGTTTACTGGGTCAGACAGAAGCTGGTCATCGTCTTAAATATGCCTTATTTTGTAAACTCTTGTTTCATCCTGTGGCTAAATTTATGCTGACAGATTTTAGGAGGTAAATCAAATCAGGTTTCGTTGCACAAGAGAATAATCCCCCTTTTGTCATTAATGTCGGAGAAACATCCCCATATTTTTTTTATTTTTGACTTGGCAATACCAAATCTGCATGAATCATAAAAAATGACCTGTTCCTACTTTTGCCGTGATCTGGTTTTACAAAAGCGCACAAAAGCGCAGTAACGTAAGAAAACCTCAAACATGTACATATTGGATTCAGCTGAATGTTTACAAGGCTGTTTTGAGTGGGAGTTTGTGATCCATGAGCCTTTGAACCTTATGCTTTCTTTTCTTCATTCTTGAAAAGTATACTTCTTAAGATTCTTCTTTAAACACATGTGTGGACAGAAGCCAGTGTCTATATTGCTGAACCTCTGATTTCAAACGCATTAAAGTGATTTGTTAAAAGAAGAGGAGACAGACAGGGTTAGTGTCTGATTCATATGTGAGGTCTTAATCTGCCAAATCTATTTCAGAGGAACTGATTAACCAGATGTATTGCTAACACCACTGAACTATTCCATTTGATAATTTTCACATCCCATTGGAGTCTACTTTTTGTCTCTTGATGAAAAGTATTCAGACTCTTTGATCATCTGGGTCTTTAGCTTTCTACATAATATAATAGTCAGGCATTTGTTTACCTCATCTCTCTGGCCAGAGTAAACATGAGGAAGGAAGAGGGAGTGAGGTGACGTTATTATAAAGCGACAAAGTCTGCATAGGAATGAAGATCGGGTGGGTGGCTAACCAAAACAAGTCCTTTTTGTGGCGAAACCTAACAAAACATTAACCATAACATTGTCATATGTATTTGCAATGGTTTTGAAAGGCACTGACCAGTAATGTATTCATGCCAAAAGGGTTATCAGATGTGTCGTTCTAGAGGGCATGGACAAATGCTGTATTTGCATTGTATGGACGTTACTCTGACGCTGGTTCTATCAACTGGCAATTCTATTAGATGTGGTGATTTGTTACCATGGGTGCTTTGTCATGAACCCTGTCTGCAGGCCTGATTTCCCAAATGATCACTAAAGATTTAGACTGAGCTGAGAGATTAGTGAGAGTAAATCTGGAACTGACAAGTACCAGAAGGCCAGAACAAGTTAAGTTAATTAAAACTTTGGAAGGAGCATTGCCATG